CAGAGTCACCTCTGCAGGGCTGGGCTTTCCTGGCAGCCCTGAGCAAAAAGGAGGGGATCTGCTGAGGGAACAGGGAGCCCAGGGGTCTGCAAGAGTTCTGAAAGCTTAGCAAGTCTTGACTGAGTTTTATTTTAACCAAGGAATGTGATGATGGAATGAAACCAGATGTTCCTATAAAAAAGGGGGAAAGCGCAGTCGGGAGGGGCACACCTACATTTTATACAGCGACAGCTAAAAAGAGATAAGCAATTTTGGATGGAGCTAATAATTCCAGTCTGGAGCTTTCAGAAGAAGAAAACATGAAGGGCTGTTCTGTTTTTTCCTCCTCCTCTACCATCTCCTCCACCACCTCCTCCTAATCCTCCTTTAATTCACAGTGTGCTCTGTACCTATTACAGAGAAAGCAAGTGGAGGGAAGTAGAGCTAGCTTAAAATGCAAACCAGTAGTTGGAACTATCACATCTCTGGTATTTTTGCTCCATCCACAAGTCATTTCAGTGTAGTCAACCACCTTCCCTCCAACCTGCTTTCCAGGCTGCCTTCCAATCACAAGTGGTCCCCCAACAAGTCCGGCTTGCCCACAGAACAGGACCCAGCCCTTATCACAAGGGCAAAGTCAAAGAACAATATGGAGATGGTCTTGGGGGCCTCAGAATCCAAAGGTTTTCATCTGCAGCCTCACAGCCAGATCCAGTCACTGTAGCTCTATCTGCATCTGTGCCCAGGTACACAGGAGAGGGGAAGCCTTTCTGCAGAATGTAATTACAGACTTCATCCTTCAGAGTTGTCACCCTCTGCCCTAATCAAGGGGCTATGACTCATGAGCCATTAGAATGACATCACACCTGAAATTCACTCCAGGATTACACTCTACTATCTTGCAAGGACTTATACACACATTTATAGGCAACCAAAGCAGGAAAATATGGGCCAAAATAGGAGATTTAGGAACTAAAGCTTTCAGTTACCCTCACCAAAATTCTCCAAAATAAATGGAAATTCCCCATAATAAAACACAGAACCTCTGATCCCTAGTCAGCGTGCCTTGGGGATGACTGTGAAATTCTCTGCAATGGATGAACAGCCACAGGTTTGTTATAGTGAGATTCATCTTAGTGGCTGCAAACACATTTGCTCTTCCTACCTTAAATCAAGTTCATTTCCTCATGAAACAGGGGGGCCCCCTGCCTAGAAGGCCTGCATGGGGGTGGAGGGAATCTCCCAGGGCACTTCTATGGCACAGCACCTTCAAGTCAGACATACGGCTCCTGCCCTTCACTGGCTGACCAGGAGAACACCAACACGCGTGGGGTATCTCACAAAGCATGCGTGAAGGCCCTGCACGTCCGCTGGATCTGGCACAGAGGGCAGGACCTGGGAATCGCATGACACAGTGGACATGAGTTGACTTTCCAAGCGGCCAGTTCCCTGAGGGGAAGAGAACCCATTTGTTAGATCTATTAGATCAGCAAGAAGGAAAAGGCGGAATCATATAAAATATAACATCACATTATAAATCAGATTAGCATTTTCAAAAAAGGTTATGGTATCCACTGCAGAACAGAGTGCCATAAGAAAATAAAATTATCTCCCTATGCAGATGCAGCTTCCAAGAAAAATAAAACACATTCAGAGTGGGCTGGTGACTTGCCATCATCTTTCACACCAAATCTGGGTTATCTGAGGCATGCCTTCCCTAAGACCTCCATCTCCCCTATTAAAAACTGGATAAGGTTACCCCACCCCCACATTGTTAGAGGGTCCTACAATGTAATGAAAATCATTCCTTTTACTTAACTGATCTTTTCAAGCCCATCTCAGTAAAGACCAGTAAAAAAAAAAAAAACCGATGCTGTACACAGAAATGCTTACTGTGACTTTCTGCAGCCAATAAAAATGTCTAAGTCTCCAAAAGCATAATGCACAAATAATGCAAATGGACATTGCCGTGTGTCAGCTCCAAGCAGGTCTCCGGTGTTTTCTGAATAATCTTACTCTTTCCCACAACCCCAAATCTGGCTCTTACAGAGAGCAGACATACCTCCCAAACTTGAATGTGGATACTCATCACTGGAGGACCTAGTTCAATTACAGATTCTTACTCAGTCTACAGTGAGGCTCAGGATTCCAAATTTTTAACAGGTTCCCAGGGTGGTGTTGATGTTGCTCCTGGCTCCTTTGGAAGGACAGAAGTCTATCTAAAGGACTAAGTTCATCAGGTGTGGAACTAAGACTCCTCCCTTGAGGGGTGCTGACATTTCTATGAATAACAATAGCTAAGAGTTTACTGGAGAATTAGACAAAGTTCTAGCAACTTGACATGTTTTAACTCATTGAATTCTCCCAGGAACTCATTATGATCATCCTTGTTTTAATAAGGAGACTGAGTCGAGGAGTAATGAAGTAAGGTTTCAAGGTCACAGGGTGGTGTAGAAACTGAGATTTGAACACAGGAGGCAATATTCCCAAGCTGCCCTGGTACCTACTACTTACAGTGAGCCCCAGTAAGACACAGCAAAATATTTTAGGAAGCTGGGTGTTTAGAAAGAAAGGGGAGTAGGAACGGGAACTCAGAGAGGGTATCAAAGGTAACTCAGACCCTATAGCAGACAGTGTTCCCCTAACAGTCACCACCAGAGAAGATACCTAGTAGTCAATTACACTGTACAGCAATCAAATCATGTTGTTGTTTTGTTTTTGTTTTTGTTTTTTCCTTTTCCAGCCGGGTTTCTCCAAACACCATTAGCAGATGTTCTCTGAACCCCACCGCCACAGCTTGAATGCTGTAAACCACTGCAAAACTTCCAACAACCGGGTCACAGAGAGACCACTGGGATGAGGCTCACTGCCAGGACACTGAGTATGAGGCTGAAATCAACTCTCTGGGGAGTTCCTTTGATGCACTTTGGTCCATTCTGGCTACAGACAGTGAAGGGAAGAGTAAAACCTAGTCACACCTGGCACTCGCACCGCCTGGAAGAAAGGTGGTGTCTTTGCAGCGCAGGAGAAAAACGTGAGCAGAGGCGACCGCGTGGTATAGAAAACGTGCTTCACGTCCCAGCCCCAGGAGCCAGGGCCCAGCCAGAAGTGCCTGAGCTGCTGAAACCCAGGGACCGGGACCCCTGGCTCCGGGAGTTTCGACCGTGGCTGCACACTTTACTACCTGCATGGGGTGGAGGGGAGGCTTTGTCTACCATCTAGAGTAAACACGCCCCAAAGAGAGGGGCGCTACTGAAGCAGCACCTGGTGGGTGGGGCAATTTTGCGAATGGTAGAAGGTGGGCGAGGGCGGGGCTGGGCTGGGGAAACCAGGAGGGACCCGACAGAGTAGTGTTCGTGGCCGCATTAGACAGCACAATGGGATCTGCCTGCTTTGTGCAGCGGGACTGCAGGAATCAGACCGTTCCGCCTCCCATACCCCACCCAGGAGATGTTTTAACTCGGTACTGTAAGGCCTCCACCACTCCGTGGGGGCGGAGGGGGGAGGGGAGCACGGGGAGGAGGAGAGCAAACCCAGCCTGGGGCGGCTGTGGGAGGCTGCCAGCGGCAGCAGGAAGAATATCTGCTTAGAGATGCTCCTGCGTTTCTAATGATGGGTGCTGCCTAGAAGCTCTGAGGGCCAGCCAATCGCTGGGCTGCTGAAGCAGGGGACTAGAGAGGGAGGAGGGGGGACCAGAGCCTGGGGTGGGGGCAGCAGGGGCAAGCCCCGGAGGGGGAGGAAGAGGGCTGCCAAGTACCTCCCTGATACTAGAGACCCAAAGTGGCTCCAGCTGTCTCCCTGGTGCTGCACACCTTGGGGTGGGGGTAGGGAAGGGGAAAGACAGGGAAGAAGTGGGGCCTCCTCTGCAGGTGCATCCTCCCCAAGAAATCTCTCCCCATATAAGCATCAGAGTCCCCTGTCTCCATGCCTGACCACCAGCTTAAAACGGCTCTACTAATGCCCCCTCACCACCCCACAACCTCCAGTGCCTAAAGACTTTGCTAGACACCCGAATCTTTAGTGAAGAACAAGGCAGCAAGATGCCTAATCAGCAACTTGCATTTGGTGCACTTGATTAAGCCTGCAAGAAGCTCCTTCCATGCCTGTTCACCCTGACACTGCACATCAGAGCCGCCCCCATCAGCTCTTTGTAGAGAGCAGTTCCTCCGGAGCAGGGGAGAGACAGACTGCTTGCACACCTCTGGGCTCAGCTGATGCAGCTCTCAGCTGGTAAATTCAGACCCAGCAGATCCACTTGGCTCCTGGGCTCTTCTGGGTCAGGGAGGGGAGGGGGGGACCCAACACAGGACTGAGGAAAGAAAGCATGGGCAGGAAGAAAACCGCAACTCTGAGCTGTGTGGGCCCTGTCGGATTCTGTCTCCTTTGACATGCCCATTCACTCCACTTTCAGTGCAACTTAAACTCAATCCCTGGAGTTAGCTGGATGCCCAGGCAAAAAGCCTCTTTCCTGTATCCATTCTCTATGTCTACATGGCTTGAGTGTTCTGAGATGATCCAGCCCCTCACAGAGCTTCAACTCCCCTACAGGCAGATACTGCAGGTGTACCCCCCAGCTGGCGGGATGGGAGCAGAGGTGAGGGCTTAAAGGGAGGAAAAGGGAGACCTAACTAAGAAAACCAGCCCTGAGATTAAGGGCACCCCATTCTGTGTAGAGTGCAGCTGTGGAAGGACTGGGGGGGGGGGGCGGACTGGAAATCAGACAAAGCCTTGCCCAGAAAGGGGCAGACACTGCACCACCACACACCCAGGGACTCTAGCGATTTCCACATAGGAAAAAACAAAAACCCAATGTCTTACCTTGAAAAACACTTTAGTGCCCACACCAGTCTCTATGGCACAAACTTGCCCCTTAGATGCACCAAAGTAAAGAGTGCACTTCAGCAAAGGGGCAAACTGGCACCAGGAAGGGGGTGGGTGATAAATTCCATGCTAGGTTTCCCCCCTCACCCCCAAGAAATGCAAAGGGGGAGAAGGGAGTTACGGTGGGCAAGAAAGGATATGGCCAATCGATGAGCTTCTTGGCGTATTTCCTGACAATGTTATCTTCTCCGAAGATGAACAGGGATCTGTTGACGGTGAAACAGTTCTGCCGGACAGGAATGGGATTGTACAAAGCCATAGTCCGCGCCCTCTGCGCTTTAGACTGCTTGTAGGCGGCCGCGGGCCCTGAGGCCGGCACCGGGGTTCCTTGCCGGTTCCGGCTCTGGTCTGAGTCTCCATCGCCCGACCCCGGCCGGGCGACCACCGCCTCCCCGAAGCGAGCCATCCTGAAGTTTAAACAGACAGAAGACACACAGAGGTGATCGCGGCCGAACACCCGCGCGCAGCGACAAGCAGAAAGACACCCGGAGGCTCAGAGCCGCATCCAGACCGGCCCCGAGACCACCGGGAGCCGCACGAGCTCTTCCGCGGGGAGGCAAGAGCAAGCCCGCCGCTCTGAACTGTTGACTCTACAAGCACCCTCCGCGGAGCTCCATTCCTCAAGAAGGAAGAAAAGGCGGGGAGGGAGGGCTTGGGGGTGCTCAGTTTCTGAAGGCAATTTTTTTTTTTTTTTTCAAAATGTCAGTGTGTGGTGGCGTTCAGGGACTGAAGAGGGGTGGAGTAGGCAGCTCCTCGAACATAGCTCCTCTTCTGGCAGACGCACCACCTAGTTCTGGGAGAGAGGCAAGCACCGGCCCGCTAGGTAACAGTTGGGTGATTTATTGGTTGGGGGAAGGGGGAAACGATAACAAAAGAACTTAAAAAAAAAAAAAAACCCGCAAGGACAGGGTTACGGTGACATGCTTTATAACAGCCCCTGCAAGTCCATCTAAGAAATTCCACCGTCAAGATGTGAGTCTTTAAATCTGCCAGCAGAGATGCATCCAAGGAGGGGTGGGGGGCGGTATTGAGGTTCCTGCGTAAACCGCAACGCCCAAAACCTCAAAATGAGAATTCGATCCAACCGGTGAGGGACAAATGACTTCAAAGCTCCAGCGCTTGGGATAGAAGTTGAGCAGCATCCAGAGAGCAGCGAAACCCGAGCGGCAGCATCCTCCCGGAGCGCTCGCCGCCGCCGCCTCCCCGGTTCAGCATGCAACAGCGATCCGCGGCTGCGCCGGCCAGAGGGCGGGAGCCGGCGGGCGACCGGCGAGCTCGCCGGCGCGGGAGGAACAGGTTGCAGCGGAGCCTCGCGGGGGCCTGGCACCGGAGTTGTCCAAAGACCGAACTTGCCCGCTAACGACTCGGCTTCCTCGTGCACCCGCCAGCCCAGCTCCAGGAAGCAGCCGGAAAGGAGAGGCGGAGAGCGAGCAGGGGCCGAGCGAGCGGGGCGCAGGAGCGCAGA